ACGGCGTCAAGGTCGAAGACTTCCAAGTTGACAAACTGGTGACATTCTTCGATCAATACTTCACCGACATCAGCAACGCTGTTACCGTCGACGAGAAAGAATTCCAACAGAAATCTTTTGAAGTTTACGCCCGTCAATTCCGTCTGAACCACAAACCATACAACTACAAGATCCAAGTTTCCAGCGACAAGTCTGTAGATGCTTTGGTCAAGTTGTTCATTGGACCCAAATACGACGAATTCGGTCACGAAGTCGAGATGAAGCACAACTACATGAACTTCTTCGAATTGGACAGGTTCAAGTATACCCTGAAATCCGGAAAGAACGTCATCGAGCGCAACTCGCACGAGAACAAATTCTTCAACCAAGAGCATTTCACTTTCAAGACTTTGTACAACCAAGTTGAAAAGGCTTTGACCGGAGGAGAAACTTTCAAGTACCAATTACCACAGGAATACTACACCTTCCCACAAAGGCTTATGCTTCCAAGGGGTGATGTTTCTGGAAAAACTTTCCAATTCTTCGTTGTCGTCTCCCAATACGAACAACCCAAATCTGATGCTTTCTGCCATTTCTTAGTCGACACTCACTACTCCATGAGCTACCCATTGGACAGACCAATCGAATTCGAAAGCGAATTCTGGGTTCCTAACTTCTTCTGCAAGGATGTAAAGGTCTACCACGAAGAGCTCATCAACGAGAAAGAATTTACCTACAAGAAATTTTAATTGATTATTAAACTGCAATGAATATGACAATAAAGAACATACAACCTTAATACATTGTTTTTAGTAAATTTGATTCACCTACAAAGATGTAAACCTCCATTAAATATAATAATAAATTATAATTACCAATTCACAAAAACATATTGATTTAAATCCTTTTGATCAAATAAGATAAATAATATTTAACTTTTGAATATAATTGAAAATATTTAGTATTAACAAAACATTTTGTAATGTACTTTTTTTTGTTATAATATATTGGATTTTTAAATTTATGTTATATTGACGTGTATTAATGTATATCAAAAATATTCTTCTAAATTATTTATTTTTTATAGATGTTCAAAATTATATTTCTTTTGAAAATATAACATAAGTAACAGAATATTTTACAATGCAGCCACTGCATCAGAAACCAGTACTTTTACTAATCATTACTATAAAAGTCTAATAGATATAGTAGAAAAATAAATCATTGTAATTACAGCTATTCTAGAAATAAACATAAAAAATAAAACACAAAATTGTAGTTCTTTCCTTCACGTCCAATCAAAATTGAACCGTTTCTCATACGATTTAATAAAACAAATTATTAAGATATTGCATTAATTTTCATGTATTTTATACAATACATTATAGTAATTTTTGTCTATATAATGAATATGATAACATTTTCTAAAATTAACTTAGAATTCATTTGTACGTATAAACATACATATTATATTTATTATTAAATTTATAACATACCTATTTTTTCTTGTTCAACAATAAAAACCGCATAAACAAAGAACAGGACGATTTATCTATTAATAAAATGTATTTAATCTAACCTTTCACAAGAACGAAACGAAAAAAATGCTAAAATAGTTCAAATGTAAAAAAATATAAGCCTACAACATATTCTGTTCATTGTTATCATTGATGTTGTTACTTTAATTTCAGCAACTTATTTAATTTTAATTTAATTTGCCATTATCATGTCAGTTTCACAAACAAACAAATTGATAATTAAATATACGTGATTCTCTAAACCACTTTTATTCTTTGATAATAATATAAGAGATAATATTAAAGATAATGAAGAACAAATAGAAAAAATAACATATAGGTGAATGATAGTATAATAATAGGTCAATGATTATATTCTTTCTTTTGAGTATATAAACCAGGATTCTCAAGATCTTAAGCATATTCAGTGCGAATCCTGAACGATCAACATGTCTGGTGTACAATACAAAGTTGGTAAGTTTATAAAATAATACTTAAATAGCAAGAATATTTTCTATTAACATAATGTCTTTGTAAAGCTGACAAAGTCTTCCTCGAGAAGCAAAAGGACATCCTCCGTCTTTTCCAACATGTGCATCAGCCAACCTTCTTCAAGGATTTGGTCGAGGTTGCCAAGACCTTCAAATTCGAAGGACACTGGGATCAATGGAGCAAGCCTGAATATGTCAAGGAGTTCTGGCAATTCTACCAGGAAGAAGATTTCTTGAAGCAAGATGAAATCTTCTCTGTTTTCCATCCAGAGCACTTGAAGCAAGCCATTGCTCTCTTCAAGGTGTTCTACTACGCCAAGGATTTCGCTACTTTCTACAACAGCGCCGTTTGGGCTCGTCAGCACGTCAACCCAGGCATGTTCGTATATGCTCTTTCCGTTGCTGTCTTCCACTGCCAGCACACTGAGGGAATCATTTTGCCACCAATCTACGAAATCTTCCCTCACTACTTCTTCACCAGCGAAGTCATCACCAAGGCTAAGCAATACAAGCAACACTACTGGGGTACCTACGAACACGAAGTAGAGCACAAGGAAAAGTCTGGCTACGCTATTAACGCCGACTACACCAAGCACACCGAAGAATGGATGAGCTACTTCACCGAAGACATTGGCATGAACGCTTTCTACTACTACAAGAACATCTTCATGCCTTTCTGGTTGGACCACGAATGCATTAGATTCGATGCCACCAAACGCGGTGAATGGTTCCACTATTACCATAACCAAATCTTGGCTCGTTACTATTTGGAACGTTTATCCAACGGAAAGGGTAAAATCCCAACCATCAACTACGAGGAACCAACCCAATTCGAGTACTATCCAGCTCTTGCCTACTTCAATGGAAAACCATTCCCAGCCAGGCCAAAGAACGCTAAGCTCAATCTCGATGTAGAAGAAACCGACTCTTCCTTGAAACACTTCTCCTACTGCTACACCAAAGTAGAAGATTACGAAAGACGTATTCGTGAAGCCATCGATATGGGATGGGTTTACACTCCAGAAGGCAAGATCATCTATTTGTACACTCAAGAAGGTTTCGAAACTCTTGGAAAGATCGTTGAGAGCGATCCAGAATCTCCGCATGTCCGTTTCTACGGTTACTTGCAAATGGTAACTCGCCATCTTCTGGGCTACTCCCACCACGCTCTTGCTCCATCCGTATTGGAACACTTCGAGACTTCCATGCGCGACCCAATGTTCTACCAATTCTGCAAGAGGATGATGTACTTCTTCAAGAAACATCAACACCATATGGGACCATACGAGAAGCAACATCTCTTCATGCACGGTGTCAAGGTCGAAGACTTCCAAGTTGAAAAACTGGTGACCTTCTTCGATCAATACTTCACCGACATCAGCAACGCTGTTACCGTTGACGAGAAAGAATTCCAACAGAAATCTTTCGAAGTTTACGCCCGTCAATTCCGTCTGAACCACAAACCATACAACTACAAGATCCAAGTTTCCAGCGACAAGTCTGTAGATGCTTTGGTCAAGGTCTTCATTGGACCCAAATACGACGAATTCGGTCACGAAGTCGAGATGAAGCACAACTACATGAACTTCTTCGAATTGGACAGGTTCAAGTACACCCTGAAATCCGGAAAGAACGTCATCGAGCGCAACTCGCACGAGAACAAATTCTTCAACCAAGAGCATTTCACTTTCAAGACTTTGTACAACCAAGTTGAAAAGGCTTTGACCGGAGGAGAAACCTTCAAATACCAATTGCCACAGGAATACTACACTTTCCCACAAAGGCTTATGCTTCCAAGGGGTGATGTTTCCGGAAAAACTTTCCAATTCTTCGTTGTCGTCTCCCAATACGAACAACCCAAATCTGATGCTTTCTGCCATTTCTTAGTCGACACTCACTACTCCATGAGCTACCCATTGGACAGACCAATCGAATTCGAAAGCGAATTCTGGGTTCCCAACTTCTTCTCAAAGGACGTTAAGGTCTACCACGAGCAACTCAATGAAAAAGAATTTTCCTACAAAAAATTCTAATTGATTTCTAAACTGCAATGAATATGACAATAAAGCATTTATTACCTTAATATATTTTTTCATTTTAATGATTTACCAACAAACAATAAAACCTTCCTCAAATACAATAATTAACTATGATAACAATATTTAGTAGTTTTTTTTTTAAATCTTACTTCCGAAATAAATTAAATAATATGATAAATGAAATTCAACTTTTGAAATATGTTATTCAGTATTTAGAAATCATATTTTTTTTATAATAAAACAAAACTCTATAGACAAAATACCCTTATTAATTAAAATTTTATAAATTTACCTCTTTTCTTAAGAATTTCTAAATGTTTTTATAAAATTATATGTGTGTATCTATAAT